CGGATGAGGCTGGCAAAGATCCGGCGCTTGATGGTTCCTCGGACTGGAGTCACGAAAGGGTACATGTTGATATTGCTGCTTTTAGTTTCAGCTTTGCACTCCTTGTAAGAATTTAACTTGAAACTTTCGGTTGGCTCCATTGCCTTCTTGTCCATAACTGGGATTGGGGTGTGTGTGTGTGTGTGTGAGAGAGAGAGAGAGAGAGAGAGAGAGAGAGGAGGCCAAGTTGGGGGAAAGAGAAGATGGAAATGGGTTTAAATAGAGAGACGAAAATATGGTAATAAGAGAGAAAGAAAGGAAAGATGGGGATAAGTGAGAGAGGGAGGGAGTGAAAATATGATATGAGAGAGAGAGAGAGAGAGAGAGAGAGAGAGAGGAAGGACCAAGTTGAGGGAAAGAGAAGATCGGAAATGGGTCAAATAGAGTGGGAGGAAATGGTATAGAGTCGTAAGCAAAAGGCATAGAGCGAGAAAATAAGAGTTGTCTAGAGTAATTTATTGTGGATCAATAACAACGTGGACAATATTAGGGGGAGGAAAGTAGGTTCGGAAGAGCTCTTATGGAACAATACGCAACTCTTCCCGTCGTCAGAAAATTATATTTCAATCCTTTCAAGTGAAAATATGATATGAGAGAGAGAGAGAGGAAGGACCAAGTTGAGAGAGGGAGGGAGTGAAAATATGATATCAGAGAGAGAGAGAGAGGAAGGACCAAGTTGAGGGAAAGAGAAGATCGGAAGTGGGTCAAATATAGAGCGGGAGGGAATGCTATAGAGTCGTAAGCAAAAGGAAGACCTTTTGGAACAATACGCAACTCTTCTTGTCGTCGGAAAATTATAGTTATACCCCTTCAAGTATGTAATAATATTTAGATTTCTTAAGTTTAAAATTTATAGTTAAACAAAAAATACTCTAATCAAATATAGAATATCAAATATTTTAAATTTAACAATTAAAATTTATATTCTATTATTTTATTTATTGAAATAAAAATAAAAATAAAAATTTATTTTTTTCTTAAAAAATTATAATTAACATATAATTATACTATCTATTAAAATAAAATTAAGAAATTAAACAAATGGTCAAACTATAATGGACACAACATCTTTTATCTTTAATTTGATTGTTTAATAGATTTCATTTTTTCTTTAACAAATAAAAGGTCTTAGTGTAATATTTTAAATTTAAGAAATATCAGTGTTTTATACTTGTAAACTTAAAGGAGTCTAAATCTAATTTACTAACTAATATACTAACTGACATTAACGATAGATATCTAAGTGTTACACACGTATAAAGTTCAAGAGGTTGTATGTAATATTTCCAATATCAAAAAATCTAAGTAATTAAATAACAAATATTAAGGGATCTTAATATAATTCTTCTGTTTTTTTTTTTCGGGTAGTGAGAGAGGAGGTCTTTGAGGAGCAATAATAAAGTGGACAGTATTAGAGTTGTCGTAAGCAAAAGGAAAATCAAGAGATAAGAGTGGTGTTCAAAGTCTCGCACCACATGAGCGACTAGCCGACTACAGCGTTAACCCCTCAACTTAGGATCTGTCATACATTATCCTATATTTAGGGATTATAGGATAATCTTGAATACATGGATAAAATTTAAGATTAAACAGAGAATAAAGATAATATTAATTTTAATCAAGCGTTGTTAAGTACAATATTAAAAGTTGGATAATAAGTATCAAGTCTAATAATATTTGGTTAGGTAACTTATTCAATAATATTAAATGTTTGGACTAAAATGCTCTCAATCATCTCCAATTTGATCTCTTATAATCTACTTCTATATCTATATACTACTAATAAAAGTATACTAACATGAAAAATTTTTGATTCTCTATTTTACCCTTATAAAAAGTTATAAAGATCATCCTATCATTTCACAATTAAATATGTAAACTATCTATTATCTCCTTATGTATTTAAATCTCTCAATTACCTCTAATTTCTCTTTTAATTATCTGTTTTCTCTCTATAAATATCAATTTCTATGAAACTTTTTGATTGATTATATTATCTTTAAAAATATGCATCATTACCTTTTCAATAAAGTGTTCAAAACACTTTTAAAAATTTCATCAATTTAATGTTACTTATCAAATATGCAAAGAAAAGATAACATTATTTGCATATATGTTTTTTTTTATTTAAAAATTTTAACCATTTTATTTGTAAGATAAAAAATAATTATATATATAATTTTTAAAATTAATTTATGCTACATCAATATAATTTTTTAGTTTACAATAAAATTTTTAAGTTATATTAAAATTTTATGTGAAAATAGTTTGTAGTTTATTCTAAAGTAAAACTTGATTTTTTTTAAATTTTGGTATTTTTTACAATATATTATAGAGTATTATATTCAATCTTATTCTAATTGATCTAACTAATTTTTAATTATATTAAAGTTTCAATATAATTATGTAATATATTGACAATTACTTTTATTTTATTCAATGAATTATAAGTGAAATCCTAATCGAATGAATTTCAAAAAATTTAATTTATCAAACATTATTAAAAAATCACTCTCAATCACAAAATTCTAAAAAAAAATAGTACTTTAACTTCTTCTTTTTTTTTTTTAATCTTTTTTCTAATAATTAGAATAACGAATTTAAGAAATATATTAAGTTTTCATAATCCTATAATAGAATATGAGTAATGAAAAATTAAGTCTAATAAATTTGAGATAATATTTAATTCAGATACACATATACTAATATATTATATCAACTTTTCTGTATGAAAACTATTCATGTACAACACAAGTGGTGCATTGCTAGTTTATATAATAAGGGAGCTAGCAAACTTACTTTTCGCGGCTGAGATTGTTTTAAAATTATTGATCCAACAATCCTAATTAAGGGTGTTCAAATTTTTGATTAGATGCAATTTCCTACCCTACCCCAAACCTACCCTACCCTACAGAATGGTTAGCTGCAAAAATTGGGTAGGAATGCGAAAGCGTTTTTGGTCTTCCGATTAAATCTAGTAGGAATACGGAATATCTATCAAATTCCGTATTCCTACTCTACCCTACCCTACTCGCAAAAAATATATTTTATTTTTTTATATTTTTTTTAGTAATTATAAAAGTATTTGTGTGGTTTAATTTATATTATAATATTGCTATTATTGTGGATGTTTGAGTTGTTAAAACATTGACTTATTTTTTTATGTAGGTTACATGATTTGTTGTAAACTAGTAATCTATTAGAGCAGTTATGATTTTAATATGTTTCAAATGATTTAAACTTAAAGTAATTGTTATTGTAGTTGTGTAACAATCATGATAGATTGATGTTCATGTTTTCTTGTATTTTATTGTAATTGTTGTTATAGTTAGTTTAGATTTTAGTGTTATTGATTTATTGTGTTGTTAAATTGGTGCATATTATTTAATTAAATTGTTAAAATGATCCAACTATTAATAACTATAAAAATATTTACTCGAATTTCTACCCGATTAATCAGGTACGAATACCACACATGATCAGGTAGGGTAGGCAAAGAAAAAAAAATTTCGCAAAATATCGGGTAGGAAGAAGAAAGATTTTATTTCCTACCCATAGAGTAGGGTGAACACCCCTAATCCTGATTACTCTCTAATTTATTTTCCCACCGAAGAATTGAATTAAGAATTTCATCTCGTGTCTAATTCTACACTCTCATCTCCCACACATCTCTATCTCTCAGGCTATCTCATATACGTATCCTTATGTTTCTCTCTCACTCTCACTCTCATATTCAGTGATCATGCATTCACTCTCATATATATGCTGGTGAGGAATATTGCTCCTCCACTCATCTTAGTTTTATTTCGTGTTTTAGCATTTTTCTTTTTAGCTACATTCTGATTGCAATTTTTCATATTTTGTAGGTTAAATGCTTTATATGCTCCTTATGAGTTTGACTGTTATCATTTATGATGGTCATTTCTTGAGGTTCTTAATGGGTGTGTCGAAGGAATATAGTAATAAATTTTATAAATGTTTCTGCAGCTATTATGGGGCTGCATTGGATTTTTTAATCACATTAGAGTGCAAAAGAGATGCTTGAAACAATGATGATAATAAAGATAAGGGCTTAAATGAATGAGAAGTGAGTTTTGAGACATGGGTGGTTGTAATGATAAGTGGTCAACAGTACATGTGATAATTATTGATTTTTTAAACTGTTTGTTTAAGGAGATTGATTTCTTTTTCCCATATTTGTAATAAATTTCTATTTTATTATGGGTTTGACTTAATTTAACTTGAAAGGGCAAATTCAATTCAAGGGAATGAATTTTGATATGTTTACTTGGTCATTACGAATTTTTTCACTTTTTATGAGAGTTTTGCCTATTTGATTTATAGAATTTATTAGGAGATATTTTTGTTTTACAATGTGTCTTCAATCAAGAGTCTATTGATAAACTTTAATTCATTCTATTTAAATGAAGGCTTGATTATACAATTACGTACTCAGGTTTAGAGAAATTTTTTTTTGCAATTTCTTAAAAATAGTGGGTCCATATTTATCTATTTTTTTAATATTTCTAATTATCGATTTTTTGTGTTCTACAATTTCTTCATTTACGAATAATTATTTGTGGCTTAGTTTTAAAACCCAGCATGGACATTAATCTGGAGAAGGAACCGAATTAATGGATCACTGGTTCAACTGCTGGGTCATTGGTCGAACCGGTCATATAATAAAAAAATAAAAATTAATTGTAAATAGGCTAAAAAATTAAAATAATTGTGAAAATAAAATGTTTAATGCATATTAGATAAAAATAAAAATTCCCAAAATCATCGAACATATATCCGATACATTCAATTTCATATACAACTTGTAAAGTTAAACATCAAAACCAACAACCCACAATTAATTAAAGCCCACAATTAAATTTTTTTTTTTACCAGACCATAATTAATTGAAATAGGCCAAAATTTATACAAATAGAAATTAATTAATTCTGCAATATAATTCAAGGAAACAAAACTGGCCAAAACAGAATGCTTAATGCATAAGCAGACTGGCAGTAGAGAGAAGCAAGGAAGTTATCAATTGAAGAATGAGGAGAGGGTTTTCTAGCAGAAGCAGATTCTCGGCCAAATATGAAGCCATACCTGCAAAAAACAAGTGATACACAAATTTCAATCGAAAAATTGAAGAGTTCTTAGAGATCATTGATCATATCAAAGTAGTAAAACCCTAATTCTTGAAGAAGAAATTGAATGTGTGGAGAGAGAGAGAAAAATGCAATACCTGAAGAGTCGAATATTTGTTGTTGTGCTGTGAGCCTGTGAGTCGAAGAACGAGATCGAAGAATCTGAGTCGAAGAATGGGGTCGAAGAATCTGAGTTGAAGAGCTGAGTTAAAGAATCTGAATCGAAGAATCTAGGCACTTCTAGTATTCGATTGAGCGATCTACTATTGTGGTGTGTGTGTGTGTGTGTGTGTGTGTGTGTGTGAGAGAGAGAGAGAGAGAGAGAGAGAGAGAGAGGGGTGGGGGTGGGGTGACCAGTCTCCTCGTTGGAGACGATGAGAAACAGAGGCAAAGATGAATGAATTTGGGCAAAAATGCCTAGAACCTCCTTTTATAGCATTCCAAGCAACCCGTCCGGTTCAGGCTCCAGTACATCGGGTCAACCTGCTGGGCTGGACCGGATTTTAAAACACTGATTTGTGGGTTTTTTGGATAAATAATGTCTTCAACACGAGCAATTACTAATGATCGAATATTTGGTAGGATTATTTCAATAGAACCAAAAGTTATGTAAATATTACATATTATGTATGTTTTTAAATAATATTGGAATTAAATAAGCATGCTTTAAAAATAGTAAAAGTGTATTTTAGATATATTCATTTGTTTCTTATTAATGTCGTTGTTTATTATTATCCATGTGAACAACAAATGAAGTGCATCTTTTACAAGTTGTTCATATGAGGAAGACGTCGAGTCATTGTAAAAAAGTTAAGGGTTGATTCGTTACGAAGTGAGGATATCAATGTAATTTTTATTAAAATAAATAAGAAGGAATGTTCACTTGAATTTTTCTTAGATTGAGAGTATAATTGTAAAATAACAATTTAATAGCTCAATAGTACGGATAGATTGTATTAAAATTATCTGAATGTGATACTTATCTAGTTAATCTCACATATAATACAAAGTGATTTTTAACATCTAAATGCAATATAAACCCGTTTTAAAACATTTTAATCTAATATGACTCTTTACTACACCCTACAATCAAATAAAAATAAGTCACAGATCACAACAAAATTGCATAGCCATGACCTCTTCTTCTGTATCAATTCTCACTAACTCTCTCCATCAGTCCCTTTATTTTCTTTAGTGAAAATAATCTCATCATCGGGCAAACATACTTTTGTATGGAGTCTGTTGAAGTTCAAATATTTTGTCATTATGTATTAAAAACAATATACTATAACCCTAGCTAAGTTTTATATGATAACAAAAGGGTCCCATGTTTTTTAATAAAATTTTCAAATGACCTTCTATATGTCCAAAATTGGTCTGGGCATGTCTAAAACATGGTTATAACATTATCATGGCCATTTTTTTCGTATGAGGGTGAGCACAATATATATTTGTAAAAAGTTTAATACACATACATACTAGTGATCAATCTGTGCAATGCACATAAATTATAATATTTTTGACTGTCACCATTACCGTCACCCACACCAGAGATGGAACTATGAGAAGGCCTAAGGGGACCATGCCCCCTCCCCCTTCAAATTTTAAAAATTTTCATAATCCCCTTATACTTTTAAAAATTTATTATTAACCTCTCAATGTGTAAGTATCTCACCTAGTGTATTTAAAAAAAATCAAGGACTTAATATTTAGTAACCATTTAGAATGTAATCACATGGATGGGTGTTATTTGTACTGACAAAAACACTTGTTAGATTATTTTGATGACGTAGTAAAGAAAAAATAAATAAAAATAGGAATACAAATATGTTTTATATCAAAACTAGTTAGTTGACTTATAATTCATTTTTATACCTTGATTTATTTAGAGGCATAAGGTTATCTTATAGACAAGAAAAAAGAGATGAGATTATCATTGACAATGACCGTTGAATTTTTATGATAGCATGAACCATTTTTGAGTTTTGTGCTCAAAAATAATTATTTTGATGCCTTTGTATAAAAATTAAATTTATTATTTTTTTTTATAAATAAAAATTTATCATTGACAATAACCCGTTGAATAAACCTATTGAATTAAATTTTTATCTATGTTGTTGTTGGCTCCTCTCAAAATAAAATCCTCGTTTCGTCTCTGATCTACACTGCGTCAACTCTCCTCCTTCCCCTTGTAATTAGTGGAAAATATACATTAATATGCTAAGTAGATGATTTAAAAATTTTAAGTGTGAAATAATTAACGAAGATAGTGGAAAATTCAAATATAGGATAGTTAGCAAAGATGATGGTAATAGTTACATAAGCCACATTGAAGAGTATAATTGGAAAGGGCCAATGTATTTGTATTAAATAATTTAAAATTGATAGAATTTAGTACCTAGGGAGGGAGGGCTTCTGGAGCACTCTCTCTCATAATTGATTTGATATACAATGTACTAAAATGGATAAACTCAAATTTAAATGAGATCAAATCCAAAATTTAAAGGAGGCTGAAATATGATAATTAAATTTTTAAAAGAGTGAAATTTGACAATTAAAAATTTGAGTAAACAATTAAGTGTACTAATGAAAGTAGTATACCAATGAAGGAAATTATTCCGATTTCATTGAAGTTACATATTAGAATAACTAGAGAAATTTCGATTGAATTCTGATCCAAATACGAAAAAAAGGATTGAATATTCATTCTATGATGAGAATAGAAAAACCTTCTTTTTGTGTTGTGTGCATAGGAGGTATAGTCTCCCTTGATTTGAATATAAATTTGGGTCTTACTTAATTTTGTATGAATTTGAGTAAAGGATTGAAATTTGTCTTTAGTATATTTGCACTCAAATTTAAACATGAGTCAAGATTTTGGTAAAGTTTGAAAATGTTCTCATATAAATGACCTAGAAATTGTTCGTGCTTGAAGGTCCAAATAACAGAAATCATTGCCACCCACCACCACCACTTCACTCACATCACCATTGTTGCACCTCTGGTGTGGCAGCATAGATAGTGTAAGCAATCTTGGTGGGCAGCTGGTGGTGGTGGATGATAATATATTAATGATGGTGTAGTGGAGGTGGGGGCATGGTAAGGGTAGGGTGTCGGCAGTGCTAACAATGTGGAGGTTGTTGTTGGCGGCGACTGTGATGGAATGGTGAATTGCAATGGTAGGGAGGTAGTCCTTTAAGTGGTGGTTGTGGTGGTCGTATATATAGTGGTGGAGGCAGACGAAAGGTTATACATATTTTAAAAGTTATTATTAACATTTCGATCAAATTTCATTTTATTTTAATAAAAAAATTAGCTTATTCAGACCTGAGAATAATTGTAAATTCAAATTCAACACTTAATCCAAATTGATGTTGAACATCGAATTGGCAATGTTTGCTTATTCTATTTTGGTTATAGATCGAGCTGGATCGATGCAAAGTAATGCACTTACCTTACCTTAACTAATGTTTCGTTTGGTACGATGGGAAAATAAAATGATGAAAAGTTGTAAGGAATAAATAAAATATCATATTTAGTAAAGAAAAAAAATATGAAAGATGAATTAACTTTTTCTCCAACTCACCAAAATCAAACCCACCAAAATTAGGAGGAAAGTGGATAAAAAATTAATTATATGTGTTAAAATGTATGTTATTTGTCATGTCATTTGATATATACTGATATCATACTTATCAAGCATAAAGAAGGGAAGGAAGGATTCTTCCCTTTAGACTAGAAAGCGTATTGTATCCTTTTTCTCACATTGTATCCTTCTATTTTTTTCATCCACCTTATCAAATGGATCATAAATGTAAACTTTATATTGGGACGTGTATATAGTCCAGTCTTTCAACCCAATCCTACCTAAATCCAGCTTGGAAAACAATTGTACCCGGGATGGCAAAAGGAATACAACCATTTGGTAGCCCATGAGAACCATTTCAGTGGGCCCAAGTTCATTGCAGTGTTGGTCAAATCAAAAGATGGATCAAATGATTAAAAAAAAATGTTATTTGAATATAATTTATTAATTTAATATTTTTAATCATTGAATTTACAATTAATTCCAATATTTATTGGGAAATGCAATCAATTCAATGTTTATAATGAATTAAATTAACAAATTATGTCTATAAATTCAATGGTTAACATTGACTATTTAGTACATTATTAATCGAGTTCAATTTGATAAGCTTAAATATATTTAAATTTGAATCGGTTGTGACTACTTCTTGTTTAAGCTTGACTAAGCAAAAGTATGCAAGCATTCGATTTGAAAATTGAGTTATACTTCTCACTTAAAAAATCTTAAAAATCAAACCTTGAAAATTATTAATCAATCTTAAAGTAATTGATTTTTCAATAAAAATCTCACAAACCGAGCTTAAAAATTTAATCATAATCATTTTATTTGCAAATTTAGAAGAGCCAAAATCAAACGAAGCATAAGCTCAAGTTACTCCAATCGTTTAAGAGGTCTACCATTTGGTGAGCTTTAATGGATGTGGGATGTAGAAGCAGCTACAACCGATAGTTTCCACCATGTGATTTTCTTTTTATTTGTCGAAAGATCAACCAAGCAGCTCATTGGATGGTTAAGCACAAGTCAACCAAGCTGGCGATGTTTTTGTGTTTAGTCTAAGTAGTGTCGTGTTAAAATTTATTCATTTCATTATCTTGTCATTTTGGATTCGAGTCGTAACATTAACTATATTAGTTATTGCTTGTGTCTAAAGACATTGTACGACGAAAAACAAAATCAACTAAAAAAAAATGAACATCAACAAGAGAAAAAATCAGTTCACATAATGATAAACAATAAGTATCTAGAGTCAATGAATATAAAAAAAAATGTACACAATTATCTCTAAAAACATAACTCAAAAAATTTGAACACAAATATATAGAATTGTTTCTAGGAGACCGAGGGAGAGATGAGAAAGTAGAAAGTATGTAGGCAAACCAGCAATTAAACATTTAATTTAAGCATGTAAGTAGAAAGTATATCCGAGTCTTGTTTAAGTAAGTGTTTATGTCTCAAACCAGTAATTTAAACATGTGTTACAAAAGAAATTTAAACGTGTGTATTTAAATTCAGATTCACAAATGAGATTCATATACTCAGTTGAATTCACAAATGGAAGCTTAATAACACAATTGAGACATACTCAGTTGGATAATCGACAAACTGCCACGAAAGCAAGGGAACTGAATTTGGATCGAGAGACCTGTTTGAGACACAATTGAAGTCATCGGAGTCTCTGGAGTTACCTAAGTTAGTCAAAGTTGCCGGTTGCCAGATCCCAAATACACAAATTAACAGATTCGAATGAGCGAGATCTAAGAGAAAATTCAATGTCAGAGAATGTTTGAGTGAATTTGAACGGAGATGTTTTGAGTATGTGAATCTCACAATTTGGACAAGAGAGAGAAAGGAGAGAAAAGGATGTCGCCGGAGAAAAATCAATGGAGTTCGCTGGAGAAAAATCAAGTTTGCCAGAGAAAAATCACTATACAAACACTCCAAGAGGAAGATGTCGTTGAGTATGCAGGAGTTCACCACAGAGAGAGGGAGTCCTAGAGAGTTCACATGAGAGAGAGAGAGAGAGAGAGAGAGAGATATTTTATATAAATACTAGTTAATGCTCAGGCCTGAAGACACTATCTAACTCTAAAAAAATCGTTAATCAAAAACATATGTACTCTGTTTACTTTACAATAGCTGATATTCTACAAATAAACAGGAAAGTCACAAAATGGGATAGATAAAAATTTCATGAACTTAAATTTTTAACTTATGTAGTAAATTTACTCCAAACATCCAATGCAATGGGAAAAAAATACTTAATAGCCAACTATCAATAAACATATAGTTTCATGCAATAAAAATAACTACATAAATGACTCCGGACAGAAAAATAAGATCATAGTTAATATCAAAGTATCCAAGGGAATTCATTATTTTACAATATTGGGTTATATAAATTCCATCTAGTTAGATTCATCCACTATTGAAGTATTGGAAAAAAACTATAATCTGTCAACAACATGGATAACTTTATCCAAGCCTCACTTCCTTCATTGCAAGTTAGCCGGGGTGTATATGCTCATCCGATGGGAGCCACTCATGGTCAACACCTTCCATCAGCAATCAAATGCCTGATAAAGCAATAACCTGACACGCCACAAAGACTTACGTAAAACTAAACCTCTTAATAGATGGCGGTAGTATTTCTCTAGACAAAGGCAAGGCATGGCAATATACTTTTTTAGATCTGAAAACAACAAAATCAGTAATGAATTCAATCAACAAAACCCACAGAGAATAAAAATATGTATAAGCAAATAATTTCATATGGCATTGGTAAAAAGTATAATAAGCATACAAAATCCAAATCTCATCAAATAGAACAACTATTAAAAAAACAACCCATAGAACTTATAGAAACCCACTAAAACAGTAACTAAAAAACCCACAGACATCAATTAACAAACCCACAAAGAGAGGAATATCACTGGTCACTGGTGTGCCATAGTGTGGTGTGGTGTGGTGTGGTGGAAGTGGGATTTTAAGGATGGCAAGAGGGTGAAACCGAGTGGGAGAGAGAGAACACTCCCTGTTATTACCTACACCACTTATAATTCGATGGAATAAAATAAAAGTAATGTCTGTGCCTAAAAGCAATATGTAACTCAACAAAAATCATCAATCAAAAATATATATATTCTATTTAGTTTACAATAACTGATATTCTACAAATAAACAGGATGTGATCATAACCATAATAAGCAATCAGCAAATTGTGGTTAGGTAATTAGGAAAAACATAAGATATTACTTGAAAAATGGGAGATTAACTTCGACTAAAATCAAGAGTAGTTAATTTTAGCTCCAACAGCCTCCAAACTACTCCAGAAAACTTAAAACTGAATTATCTGTCATATTATTTGTGAAAATTAAATAATTATGGTTAGGAGAAGCGAGAGACAGTTTAAGAGAAAGGGAGAAACAGAGAAAACAGGCTTACATCTCTCTCTCTCTCTCTCTCTCTCTCAGTATATACACCCATGTATGCTTTGACTAAAAAGACCAATATGCAACTTATTACACAGTACCCACTCTGATGTTATTGATGCATGAAGTGTACCAAATTGAACAACTTTTCCCTATGTACATAGCAACGAAACTCAAAAAAATAAATTTAAAAATATTCCTTGAAAGAAAAGTTTCAAGAATGTAAGGATAGTCCAAATGGGACACCTGTCGCTCTACAATCTATATATGTACATATTTCAGTCTGTAAAATTCACATAGAGGAGCATACGTATCATGCATGCTCCTCCATTGCTGACAAAATTCCAATATATGCAATTCCCGTAATGCATATATAGTCAATTGTGAAGATAACATTGAATGCACTCTTTTAACTCCACAATAGGATCACATACTGGTCAAGGCAATGGTGTCTTCTGTAATCCCATTGTCATTTTCAAAAGAATAGAGATAAGGAGGTCCATTTTCAGTACGCACTAATCCTATTGCCGATCAAATAGCCTTCTTGCGTGACCTTCGCAAAGCTTGAATAATGAGCCTTAAAGCCTTCATGTCAAGCCTTGTTGTGATTTGGAAGAGGGAAGTCAATGGTTGAGAGCCAATGCACTATCCATCAAGCTATTGGATTTGTACATAATCCTATTTGCAAAAAGTAAATAAAGATGACCTCAAAAAAAATAAACAACGAACTTTCTCGAGCAATTGTACCCTCAACTCTAGAAATACGAGTATGCTTGTTGACGAATATCATCGGCAACCCTAAACTGAGCTTGCAATTCCTTTAGCCTCTTACTTTCATCTTTATATTTCTTTCCCCCCAGTACAACCGCTACTTCAGCTTTTGAAGCTTTGTCTTTAAGGCAATCCAGGTCTTTCCTCAGAATCTGTAAATGTTGAAATCAGATCAGCAATTGGGGGGAAAAAATTAAGAGAAAAGCAATCCCAGCTTCTAAAATATATAACATCCTTTCTCTTATGTGCATATAACCTCAAAGGTACCAAGATAGCCAGGTCAAATATTCTAGCAAAAGGAAGTTAAAAATCCTTGATTTCCACACAATTAGAACTCTTAACAAAGCGATGATTGCACGATGAATAACCTATCAAATCTTAAAATTTTACCGATCAGGAGTCAGTTATGATACCTTCAAACGTTCTTCGACTTGGTCTTTCTGTTGCAAAGCCTGCTGAACTTCATCCCGGCACCCCATATTAGAAGACAATTGCCCACGAAGATGCTTCAGTTGCTTAATTTCACGAATGAATTGCTTTTCTTCTTTTAAAGGCAAGGTTTCATGTTCTATCATGTGTTCCACATTGTTTATCTGATTCCAGGACAAAAATTCAAAATGTATGCGTGATAGGTAAAGTGAGAAAACATTTTAGGTGTATCCCTAGTTCAGTTTTCATGGAAACATTTCTATCAAAAAAAAAATTCCAGGGAAACAAAATGAGAGAAAAGCCAATGCTTACCCAGGCATCAATATCTTCAACAAAAATGGCATTCTTCACTCTGTTGATCATAGATTGTACTAAATCTATTTCTTGGCGCTTTGCATTCAACAATTTTCGTGAAGCTTTCACTTCTGTATTGGCAGCTTCATACTCATCACCATGGACTTGAAATATAGGCTCTACATTGGTAGTTCTTTCACTCCCTTCACTACAATAGGGAATGAAAAATACAATAAAAGAATAGATAAATCCACATAGTGAACTCATTAAAGCCACCACAAACACTTGGGGTTCGGTGTGTATGGGTGTGTGCAAACCAGTACATCAAGGTTGGGACAGAGGGTAAGAGTGATGGGTAGGATGGTGTATGGAGTTGGTGGTGGCAGTGATGGTCTGGTTTTGAGGCTGAGAATAGTGAGAGAGAAATACACAAACAGACAGCAACCCATCCCAAAATATATGTATCTGGACAACAAATTTACAACGGAGAGGAATGAAAACTAAAATCAAGGCAGGAAAATATGTACTTAGGCAACGGAACCCCGATACCGATAAGAAGAAGAAGAAGCCTCACTCACGCATCACGCCTTGGCCTTCCTTCTTTAATTTCGAGGGTTCCAACGAGGAAACTCTTCCTGACTTCTGATATTGCTTTGGGCGATCCACTAACGACTCACCATTATCGTTCATGTGAGAGACTTTGGGATGAGATAGAGAAGATTTGAGATGGATTCCATGTGATAGAGGCGTGATAGGTTGGGAAAGAGAGGCATGATAAAGAGAGAGGCATGAGAGAGATAGAAACAGAAGTGAGAAGGAGAGGCGTGAGACACTGGCCTGTGTTGGGCGGGAAAGAAAAATATAGTATTTATGGTTGACTGTTAGATCATAATTTTTGAAATGATCTGAACCGTTTTTCATGTTGAGATTACATTATCCGTTGGATGTGTTTATGTTTTGTCTCAAAACGATCTAGAACTCTCTTTATTTTTTGGATTCAAATTTGGTTATAATTTATTAGATAGATATTTGGTCCATTTGTGTTATATTTAGTCTTGTTTGTGTCAATTTTTACTTGATGAGTATAACAAGTTTAATGATTCAAATTGCTATCACTAAACATAAGTTCACTAATTCTATACTAGGAAGTATATATACTCTAGTCAGAATCAAGATTGTGATGGCTTCAGATCAACTTCACTTCCCCGACTTTTTATGACATTCCTAACAAATCAAAATAAGTTTCCAAACTTGCACTGCCATGGGAAGAGCGGACCAGGGCTTTGAAAATCGGCCGTTACGTAACAGTAACGACAAGTATCGATCCCGTTATGGTCCGATATAACAGAAGGAATGGATTTCACAGACGTAACGGCTGTTACGGCTCCATAACGGCCTCGTAACGACCCCCGTAACGGACGTAACGACCGTTTTGACCCGTTACGATCAAAAAAAAATGATTTGAGTATAAAATCCAAATTTCAGCCCCAAAAATTGATTTCATCTAAAACCCAAATTCAACCTCCATCTCTCATCTTCCTTCATTCACTCAAATCTCAAATACATAGTGTAGATCTAAAAATTTTTCAAATAATCACTTAAAAATGCACTTGTATATCTAGATCTAACTTCTTGAGGTGGTTTTCGAAACTATGTCCTCCTCTGCTCGAAAGAGCTGAACTCGAACTCTGACTGTTGGACCAATGATCAGATCTGAGCTCTCCAATGTTTGATGGCTTCTTGGTGTGGTCACTACTTGCTTTCGGACGATCGAAGACGAATGGATCTTCACTGCATCGCTCCATTCAAATTTCTCACTTCTCTGGGTAAACACTTCAGTCCAGCCACCGCCTGATCCGCCTCTCTCTTCTTCTTATTTTATTTATTTATTTTTTTGGTTGTACAGATATAACATGTGTGGTGTTTACTTATCTGTGCAAATCAGCCATCAGCCACCGAATTTTATTTATTTTTTTACTTTTTTAAGCTCTACTTATCTATGCACTGTGCACATCAACTACCCCCCCCCTTTTTTTTAACTTTTTAAGATCTATTTATCCTATAGATTTCAGCCACCGTCTCTCTCTCTCTCTCTCTCTTTAAAAAAAATTTAGTGTTGTCTTGTCCATTTAAATATTATAATGTTATATTTGAGATATATTTTTGATCAAATAAAATATGTGTTTAATTAAAAATTTTAATAAAGTTTATTAATTATTTTAATAGAGTTTAAATATGTATCACAATTAAGAATGTTAATCTTATCATGTTCGTATCAAGACCCACGAAAAGAATAATTATTGTATTCTAAGTATTAAATATTAGTCTAGACTATTTATTATGCTTATTTAATAATCGAATCAATTTTATAATCGTTTATGCCGGGTTCGTATCAACTGGTCAAATTTGACATCCTTAACCAAAATTAACTAATTTTAGTGTAGGTACTAATCATTTTAATGAATATTTTGTGAGTCCACAATTCATTAATTATTTTAAATATTTCTATATGTGTGTCACTACGTGTTTTACCATTCACTAATTTTATTTGGAGTAGATAGAACATATAAATTAATCTTTTAATCCATTTAATATATTGAGTTATTATTCCGACATGACGTATACTTTTTTTTTTGTGACAGAATTGAAAATGTCTCGACATGGCCCAGAAGAAGGTTCACAAAGTAATTCCAGTGATGATATAGGTTGAAACTTTGCGACAATGGCTACCAATAGACATGATGCAGTATGTATATTTTGTAAAAAAATCATTAAAGGTGGTATTACACGAGTGAAAGAGCATTTGGCGGAAAAAAGAGGAAATGTAACATCGTGCCCAGACGTGCCACGAGAAGTCAGAGAATAGATGATGAAACATCTTCAAGAAAGAAAAGATAAACAAAAGAGGAATGAAGAATTGGAATTCCATCTGAAGGAGACAGTGGTTGGGGATCCTAGGTATGTGGACTTGGGTGATGATTCAGATTCTGATCCAGAGATGGCATTCGCGAGAAGAGAAAGTATGGCACAATATCAATTTGAAGAAAGTCACTGACGTAGAAGTGTACATGTGTCACAGTATAACGTAGGAGGTAGTTCCGGATGTGGGAGTAATTTTAGAGGTAGGTTAAGACGATCTCATTCAATTCGTGAACAGGATGTTGATGGTAGTGCTTGACATTAGATTAATTATGATACTCTTGAAGCTAGATTAAGGGAGATGGATCCTGATCTTCTGAAAAATAAAATTTCTAAGCAGCCAAAGATAAATTCAAATCACCAAAAGATTAGAAGGGAAAAGTTATGAGATATGTTTTCCAAATTCATGTTAGATAACAATTTGGCTTTTCATGTAGCAGACTCTCCTTGGACTCAACCAATGCTTGATGTTGCTGCTGAAGTAGGAAAAGGGGTTAAAGGTCTGAATTCTTATGAGGTGTCTAAAATATATTTGAATAAAGAAATTAATGCAATGAAGGAGTGTATTATGTCTTTTCGACCAACATGGAAAAGAGAGATGAGTTACTATCATGTGTGATGGATGGACTGGTCAAATACGAGATCACATCATCAACTTCTTGATATATTATAATAAAGGTACAATTTTTCATAAGTCTGTTGATGCATCTAATGTAGCAATTAGGACTTCAAATTATTATTTTTGTTTAATAAATATTGTTGTTAAAGAGATTGGACAAAAATATGTTGTCGATATAGTGACTGACAATGAAGCAGCTCTTAAGGCTGCTGAAAAGAAGTTGATGGAAAAAAGACCATATCTGTATTGGACAGTGTGTGCAGCACATTGTATTGATCTTATACTTGAGGACATTTCAAAAAAAAAATATGTTGCAAAGGTTCTAGATGATGCAAAGTCTATCACAAGCTTCATTTACAATTATCCAAGGGTATACTATTTGATGAAAAAATATACAAATGGTAAAGAATTGTTACGCCCTTCAATTATCATATTTGCCACAAATTTCATTGCATTTGAGAGAATTATTAGGCAGAAAGATAACCTAAAGGCTCTGTTCACTTCTGATGACTATAAGGCAACTAATTTTGGAAATATGAAAACCGGCCCTCCTAGTGATGTAAAAAATTTGATTATGGGCAAAGAGTTTTGGAAGAGAGGTAATGAAGTTCTAATTGTTCAAGAGCCATTAGTTAGGGTGTTAAGGTTAGTAGATGGAGATGAGAAACCTACAATGAGTTTTATACATGAAGCAATGGATCGAGCAAAGTTGGCTATTAAAAAAGATTCTCGATATTAGGTTGACTATTGGAAGATTATTGATCGTCAGTGGTCTCTTCAGTTACATCATGATTTGCATGATGCTGGTAAGTATGGACTACAAAGTTATATTTTTTATATTGTTGTATGAAATTTGCATGTTATGTGTGGATAAATAAGTAGTTATAATGAACTAAAAATTAATATTTATATATGAGTAGGTGATTAACCCTAATTAAGACATAATTTAATAGGTAAATTGTGTTAGTTGAATAAAGTAAACTAGTCAAAATAAATCAAATTAGAGTTAGTGTGTAAATAAAGGATAATGCATTAATTGTTGTTCTTTTCAAAATTTTATACGTCAAAGCTACAAACTACTGGAGAGTCAATTGCATTAAAGCTACAAACTACTTAGGTGTCAATTATCAAAGCTCAAAACAAAGGGGGATCATAGAATTCAAGGCCACCTAACAAGACTTTCATGCTACCAAACAAGACTTTTCAAGGTCACCTAACAAGATTCAAAGTCACCTAACAAGACTTTCACCCTCCCTTGTTGCCTATAAATACCACCTCTTAGGACTTGTAAATCATTCATTTTTTGGTAGTGAAAAACCCTCCAAAAGTATTATTATTTTTCTTATTGTTTATTGCTTTCTTTAAGTATTGTTTTCTTTTATTGTATTATTGCTTTCTTTTAATTTAAGTATTGCTTTCTTTTATTGTGTAATTGTTTACGTTGATTTCCATTGCTTGAGCTTCCTTCTTCCCTTAGAGGAGTGAAACTCTTCCACTTTTCTAGAGCTTTACCAAAGCCGTGAAGGGTGGAACGTGATTCACTCATTCTTTGTCAAAGATCGGCTCCTGTGTAAAGTGTTTTACCTTATAACTCCTCTACTTGGAGGGATAAGCATCACTCACTTTCTAGCTTTAACAAAGCCATGAAGAGTGAGTTGTTTATCATCCAATCTTTGGTAAGAAGTGATTATCCAGAAGTTATATTTATGCATTTCGTTTATGCTTAGCTCTAGTCTTTATTTATTCATAATGTCTTCTCATCATATTGTTGTCTTTATTTTAAGCATGAATAGCTAAATCTCTTAGTTGGCAAAAACCAAGAGGAACCTCCACTTGGGTTTACCATTTCAACTCATTTTTCTCCCCTCTTTCAGAGTTCAATGGTTCGGTTTGACTGGGTTGAGGGTGGATAACTTGGTGAGTCTTTGATATTCCATAAGCCTAGTCACTATTTATGCTTAGATACTTACCAATCTTACCCCTACCTTCCCACGAATCAATCGTTCATTCATGCTCTGTTGGAGGAGGGTTTCGAGTTGAGACGATATTCCTATTGGAGTGACCTCTTGGATTTGCCAACATTTATTTCTCATTTTACTAGCATCAAAACAACTTCACCAAACAACTTTCAACAATCAAAGATTTTACATTTTCTTTCTCCCAAAATCATCTTCCCCTCAGTTTACTTCCTTCCCCGTGGAAACGACCTTGGAATACCACCAAGTAAAACACGATCCGCGAAAGTCTCCTTGCACTTGGGGAGCACTTTTGTTCACACATACTCACATTTGAAATCTTATTCATCTACCATTTCATTGTCCTTTCTTTTGACATCATCCATAGGAGAGTGACACTCCCCTTCATTCATATACTATATATGCTAAAAGGTGATGTTTATAAGTTAGGAAACAACAAGGAACTTTGTCAAGCAGTAGGTTACTTCTTGAATCCACAATTCCAGTATGCTACTACCAGCTCTAGGGAGACGTTCCGAGAAATAATAGATGGAACGCAGAAAGTAATACAAAGATTGGAGCCGAACATTGAATGCCAGATTAAGGCAATAAATCAGGTATATAGTGTTTGTTTGCTTATAATTTTATTTATTATTTGAATGACATGTTATCTATACACATTTTTTCACAATTATAATGTATGTAGATGTTTTTGTTTTGGGATAAAGCATAAATATTTGGATCAAATATTGCGCAAACAACAATTAACAAAACAAATCCTGGTAAGTTAAGTTACAATTTATAATATGTAGTCAATGTATATTTATTATTTTGTGAATTCATCAAAATTTATTTTATGTAGCTGAATAGTGGATTCTTTATGGCTCATGTGCTCCTGAGCTTCAAAGTATAGCAGTTAAGGTACTAAGTCAGACTACTTCATCTTCTGGTTGTGAGCGTAATTGGAGCACATGGAGTCTTATTCACACCAAGACCAGAAGCAGGTTGAAATATGCTAAACTCCAAAAACTTGTTTTCATTCACTATAACATGAAATTGAAAATTAAGCATACTGCGCGAAAGAACCAGCAAGAGATTGAGAATAGCTTTAATCCTATCGATTTGGATTACATATTTCATGAAGATGATCCCCTAAATCCATGGTTAGAAGAAAGGGAAGAACCATTGATGCCCTAGGATAAGGAAACTCGCTCTTGGATTAATTCTTTTGGTGAAGATGATGATAATGAATGCATACTTCTTTCTGAGTCACTTGATAACCAAGGCTCTGATTCTAGTCCTGCACCAACTGAAAACGATAATGGCGGTGGTGGTTACAATGATGATGGTGGTGGTGGTGGTGGTGGTGGTGTGATGATGATGATGGGGGTCAAAGTCTAACCCAAATTTATGGTTATAATTGTGAGGGTAACCTTCCAGCTTAGGGTGATATTAGTGGTCATTGTCATGATTCACCGTTTCGCGGGGATCATGGACTTAGTGCGGTTAGAATTGATCCAGAAGCTTATGGTCAAAAATCACGGCGTGGAAAAAAATCAAGTAGAAATACGAGAAATTGGAATGAATATGAAGATTCCTCGTCTAGTGTTATGCAGAGTTTGAGTGATCTCACTCTTAGTGATTCATCATATGATAGTGGTAATAAAAACTACCACTCATCATGCTATCTACCTGAAAATTATAGGCCCTACCATTATAGTTATTCTCCTCAACACTACCCTCCACCTTTACATCCCCAAGATAATTCTTTAGGTCTTTTGAACCCTAACAATTACTTGACATTAGATGCATATGGAGAGCAGCTACGACAATATGGAGTTGAATTGGGAACATTTACTTATATGTTGCCCACATAATGGAATGATGATAGTGGAGGTAATCAAAATCAATCTCAATCTCAATGTTTGGATCCTCCGCGTCGTTCTTTTTAGTGGTGAGATTGTTGAAAGGTAACACTATTTCTTTCTCTTTTTTATTATATTGTTCTATTCTAAAAATCATTTTGGTTCTATCAATATGTTTCATTTAATAAATTGTTAGATTTATAATTGTACATTTCATTTGTTCAATTGTTACTAATGAAAATATCGCTGTTGCATAGTGACTTAAGAAATATTATTAATACTTAGGATATTTTATTATCATATTTATGATACAATAAAATGCACTAAATCACTAAACACCTATATTTGCATGATTTTAAGTTGAAATATGTAAATATTCATGTTTTATAGGAGGTTGTGAGTTGAAAAAAAAAATTCACGTATTCGATTTTTGTTACCGTTACGTAACGCCCGTTTCACTCCACGTCCGTTATAACGTTACCGTTATCGTTACGGTGTTCGTTACTATTATTCAGAACCTTGGAGCGGACTCCGACCGGCGGACTTACTTAAAATGAGAGAAAATAAAATGAGGTAAAATATATTTTCATGTATTATTTAATTAACATAAAAAAACTTGTTTTTAGTAAACAAAAGAAAAAAAGTTTTATTTTTTTTGTTTCTTATATTTTCTAGGATTTACTTACTAACCAAACAAAGCATGATGTAAGGTAAGGAAACGGTTGTTAACTCACTATAAGAAAAAGCGAGAATTGCTGGCATTTCACAAACGCCGGAGAAATTAAAAAAAGCGCCGGCAAAATTTTTTTCCGGCGTTTCCATATGAAAATAACAATTTTAGATTAATCGTCAATAAAGCCACACAGAAAATACATAACATCTAGGTATTTACAGCATTTTCGATTAATAGACCAAAAATTGGAAAATTGACAGATTGTAACAGAGGTAAAATCAAGTTGAGATAACTAAAGGAGAATACCATATAGCCAAAATACGGGATCAAACAATCAACAACACATTAAGTTACCTATTTGATAAAATTGAGCAATAAATAAGATGATACGTTGCTCTTCTTCTCTGGAATCTTTCGAATGGAGGTGTTGTTTTTGCAATCTTCAGATCTGAAGGAAGTTCGACGGAGGGGGATCTTCAGATCTGAAGGAAGTTCGACAACAAAGGAGTCTTTAGATCTAAGGAAAGCTCGACGTCGATGGAGTCTTCAGATCTCTGTGTGTGAGTGTGTGTGTGTGTGTGTGTGTGAGAGAGAGAGAGAGAGAGAGAGAGAGTGATCTTGGGAATAGAGAAATATTAGGTTAATTTCTGGAAGCGTTGTTTTCTTTTATTTCTGTTAAAGCGCCGGTATCTGCTGGCGTTCACACAAACGTCGGAAATTTAATGGCGGTAAAACCATGATTTCTTGTAATGTAGTAAAAGCTAAAAATGGGTTTATTATGTTGAATAACCAGTGTGATTTTGGAGATAATCAACAAAAGCAACTGCAAGTACCAGCGAGTGTACGTGCATGGGCAACTACGGGACACATGTAATGGTATAATATATGTTGATCTTGATTTCCTTCAACCATGCTTGAATATACGTAAGGCATTACATATTCAATAGCAACAGCGAAACATCCACAACAGGTAGAACTAAGAAGATCAGCAACAGTAGACCCAGCTTGCCATGACAATAACTACCAAAAACAGCATCAGAATAAATTATAACCAGCAACCCATTGTATGGCAATAGAAGTATATATGTGTGTGTAGAAAGAGAGAGAGAGAGAGAGAGAGAGTTATATATAGTTATATGTCTTCATTTTGGGAAAGAAACGGACGAAAGGTGCGTCTGCATTCTGCAAGCGAGTTTCAGGCTACGGAAGATGCCAGCGAAGATCCGACGCTTGATGGTTCCTCTGACTGGAGTCACAAAGCTGTACATGTTGATCTTCATACTGCTGCTTTTAGTTGTAGATTCGCACTCCTTGTAAGAAGAATTTAACTTGTTCTTTCCAGTTGTCTCCATGGCCGCCTTCTCCATACCGGGGTTTGATGTGTGTGTGTGTGAGAGAGAGAGAGAGAGGTGGGGTCAAGTTGGAGGAAGAGAAGATCGGAAGTGGGTGTTAAATAGAGAAAGAAATGAAGAGGGGGAAAAGATTGTAAAAGATAGAAAGAAAGAGAGATTCGGATGTTTGAGAAATAAGACCACCGACTTTGGGGAAACAGACGATGGAAAGTGGGTATTAAATAAAGGAAGTGAAAATATGAGAGAGAGAGAGAGAGAGAGAGAGAGAGAGAGAGAGAGAGAGAGAGGGTGTTCAGGTAGTTTCTTTTCAACAGGGTCGAGTTAGAGGTTGGTGGTAATTCGTAAACCCACTCAACTGCGGTCTGAGAGTGAGAGAGATGGTCGTGAGGCATTTCCTTTTCAATAGGGTGGAGTTCGAGGTTGGTCGTGAGGAATTTCCTTTTCAATGGGGTGGAGTTCGAGGTTGGTCGTAAAGCCACTCAAGTGGGTTGTATTGTTTTTAGTAACGCTAATCCCAATGGCATAGCTCTCCACTGTTTTCCAATTGGAAGAAAATCAGAGCTTATGGACGGGAGTAGACTTGATGACAGCCATTTTACGTAGGGCTGTTTAGTACGAAAGAAACTTGGATGGATGAAAAAAAAAAAAAAAAAATATCATTTGGTTTTAAAAGAAAATCAAATGGAAAAGTGAGTGAAAAATGATTCCATTTAACCCGCCATTTTTTTTCCGTCCAAAGGTGCTATTATGATGTGGACAAGATTTTTCTAGAAAAATGCCACAAAGTCAATATTTTTATAGCAAATAGTTTTTATTTTACACTTCATATTTTACCCTTTCTTTGACTCCCTGTAAAGTTCAATTTTACAATTTATAGTAAAAAAAATATAATTTATATTCAAGGGTATAATATTAGATTGAGTTTATATATTTTTTTTCATTCCATTCTTTTTTATTTCTTTTACCAAATAGTAGAAAATCTATCTCTCAATTTTTTCATCCATCATATCAAAAAAATTAATACAATACAAATTCAATACAATATGATCCAACAAATTGATTAAGACCCGATTAACTTAAAAAAATTGTGCGACATGTTTTGGCGTTAACTCGATCAAAATTACATTTTCAGTTCGTATCATGTTATCATACCATGTCAATAATCATCACTTTTATATATTAGACAATTTTTTATTATATCTCTCACTAATGAATTTCAATAAATTTCTCAAAACACAAACATTATATTTTAACCCATTTATTTAATTAGTAGATTCCACAAGAAAGTGGACGAAAAAATATATATTTTTGTACATATTTATTACTTTTAATAGTAAATTGGAGGGAGTTTTAACATTTTCAAATATTGAAAAGTCTACTTGCAATAGGAAAAAATAATTTTTATTAGCGAAGGTATAATGGTAAATTAAATTTTCATGTGTTTTCTTTCCTTTCGTTTTTCCTCTAATACTAAATAATAGAAAATTAATTCATCTAATTTTTCAACCATCATGCCAAACAAAAATGAGAGAAAGTGGTTTTCTTTCCTCTATAGATTGGAAATTCTATCTCTCATGCTTTTTTATCCTTCTTATTTTTCATCCCTTCTACTAAACAGACCATAGTACAGCAGGTTTTAATTTATTTATTTATTATTAATAATATTTTATCCTCTAATTTTTATCATTTTAAAGTATTAATCAAAAAAATCCAAAACATTAGGATCA